GCTGCCGCGGTGGCTCGGCGCCGGGAGGCGGGCGGGGGCGCGCTGCCGCCCGCTGCCCTGGCGTGAAGCTGGAGCCCAGCGGGGTTCTGCCCCGGCGCAAGCAGGCATCTGCCTTTGGGCGAGGGCACGCTGGGGTGTTTTAGCCTCTTTCCCACTCGCACGGCACTAAGTTGTGTCTTAACTGTGATCCCTCCTCCCCCATCCGCTTTTTGAGACCATACGTGTACCCTCCGGCTAGGGTATTTTCTAAGTCTTGAGAGAGAGCAAGCATGTGGTCGGTTATTTATCATATCAGGCTGCCTTCCAGGAGGGTCTAAGGAGTGGAAGAGGTGAGCACATTATTTCTTACTCTCAAGTCATTTAAATGTTGGTATATGAACACACGTCTCGAGTGATGAATTTCACTCGGGAAGAGTATCGGGGACACATTTCTGCCGAGACTTGTGTGGTTTCTTTACAGTGGTGTTTTGGCCACATGTGGTATAAACACCAAAAAAGATTTTTTTTTTCTTTCCTAACTACCTTGAGAATGAGCTGTAATTGTTAGGGTAGTTTCCATGTAATACCACTTCCTAATGGCTTACCTCAGGAATTGCGAAGTCTGGTTTTATTTGTAGCTGTTGGAATTGAGGGAAGTTTATATCGTGACCCCAAAATGTTATGAAAAAGGGGCATATAACTCCAGAAGAGAAAGTAGTGTTGAAGTATGAACAGAAATGCTAGGGCCTAAATACAGTTTTCTGTTGCTTCTGAACGCGCTTTGCATTCTGCAGTTGGTATAGCTTCCTGTGTAGCAAGTGAAGTGTTTAGTTTTCATAAAATCATGTTTCCCATCGCATACCCTCCAACAACCTTATGCTTGTTTGAAAGCTAATGTTTGCTATAGGAAGTTAAGCCCTAGTCTGCCTTTAGCAATACTACAAAAGCTGGAAGTTGCTTAAAAATGGTGAAAATTGTCTTGATTTCAGTCACTTACTTAGTTTTTGTAACAGTCAAACAAATACTGCAGCATATATACAGTAGCTGTAGTGGTTCTCTAAATGCAGTTATAACCACGTTGAGACAGGTTTTGACTCTTCTGTATTCTTAAAGGTAAATGTGAGCTTTATAATGGCAGGCAGAACTGACTTTGTAAAGGTCTCTTATTACAAAGTTTGAAACGACTACTTTCAAGATAAACCTTCGTTCAGTCACTTGGAAATCGGGAACTCACACAGTGTTAGTTGTAGGAATGATTCGTTGGGTTCACTTACATCTCCTAATTTCTGAAAATGCTGTGCCCGTGAAAACAAACAAAACAATTTAAAAGTAACTTCTGAATGTTTTAATTTTGCTGCTTATAAATTATTTTTCTTAGGGATCTTAATGGAAATAACATCACAAGAATCACCAAGACTGACTTTGCTGGTCTAAGGCACCTTCGAGTTCTGTAAGTTTTCTCTTTCTATCACTTATACCTTTTAGGACTGATGCTACAGTTTGTTATAAAAACCATTGAACTGGTTATCTTTCAGTTTATAAGCTGGATGGGTTATCACTTTTTAACTATTGTGCTACTGCAGCTGAACTTGCAGCCCCTCCCCCATGTGTTATACACTGATATGAATAAGTTAGCAATTGCCTTAAACATCATTTGTTGAAAATTTTTTAATCTCTCCTTAAGGTTATGAGAACTTGAGGATTTAATTTGGCATGTAGCTTACAAGTAAGAGTTGCTAAAATTTGTTAAATAACTGTTGGAGTGACTTCAGTTTAAGGTTAGGAAATTTATAGTTCACACTGAAATGGGTACTCTCAACCTGAAGTATAAGGGAATTCATTAAGGAGAAAAGTTATTCCTTTACTGAATTTAAAAGCAAGTCCCAGGTGATGGTTGTTGCTTTTCTATAGTTTCTGGGCAAAAAGGAAACACTTTAACAGTGAATTTGAGGAAGGAATGATTTGGTTTGGGTTTTTTTGTAAATGCTTTTGTTTCAAGCATTAGGAAGCTTTTAAAATTCTGTGGGATTTTGTTGGTTTTTTTTTTTTTTGAAAAAATCTAAAATACCAAGTTTAAAAGGGGTTTTTTTTTTTGAAAAAATCTAACATACCAAGTTTAAAATACTACAGAATTTACTTAGCTTATTTGTTAAGACTATTTAATTTGAGCAAGTAGTCATATAAAATCCTTTTCTGTTTCTTTCTGAAACAGAGTATCATGTTGTAGTAATTTTTAATTTTTTTACAAAACTACTGTTACGATTACAGTTTCTGTACAATCTTTCACTGATGTTTTTTCCCAAAACCATACCAAGTTTAAAATACTACAGAATTTACTTAGCTTATTTGTTAAGACTATTTAATTTGAGCAAGTAGTCATATAAAATCCTTTTCTGTTTCTTTCTGAAACAGAGTATCATGTTGTAGTAATTTTTAATTTTTTTACAAAACTACTGTTACGATTACAGTTTCTGTACAATCTTTCACTGATGTTTTTTCCCAAAACAACAGTTCAGTATTTTTGTTTTGTTATTCTCATGTGAGACTAATACCACCTTCATACTGTTCAACTGTAGTCTTATAACTTGCCGAAGAGCAATGATGTATGTGCGTGTGTGCGCACAGCATGTATGCATATGTGTAACTTTTAACTTGGGACTCTTAAATAAGCAAATGTAATATCTATTTGTATTTCTTTTACTGAGGATTATTTTTCCCCTTTTGGGTGTACGAGCCCATGTAAAGTGTTGATGACAGGGGTCCAGAAGGTTGAAGTAGGTGTTACTCTAGAATAACTGTTGTACTGTTTTAATGAATATGTGGTTGCCTTTAAATGACCACCACTGTTAATGCAACAAGTTATCGCAGAGCTATTAAAACTTATGCATAAAATTTTCTATATTTCAGTCAGCTCATGGAGAACAAGATTAGTACTATCGAGAGAGGAGCATTCCAGGATTTAAAAGAACTGGAGAGGCTCTAAGTATTTTTAATTCTAAATGTATGAATTTTTTTTATCAAATCAGTTGTGTGTTAAGCTACTCAGGCCTCTGATTTTTTTTTAAAATTATTTTTTTAAACTTGGGACATTTATCGTTGTTGAGACACAAGAGAAATAAGAAATTCTCAAGCAGTATGTATGGGACTCAGGCTGGGGGAAGCTTTCATGAGCAGTCCAGATTTGAAGTGTAAACTGCAATTGTCTTGTAGGAAATAGCTTGAATACTATCAAATATTTTCCCTTGAATACACAGGGATGTTTTCAAACATGAATACACCTAAAAAAGCCTGTTCTCTGAGGTACAGTGTTAGATGTTAGTCTTGGAGATGTTGGATGTTTTATACAATGTCTTATTGGAAGTAACTGCTAGTTATAACGTGTTGTCTTGTTACATAGTAGGAAAGCAGTAAATGAATTCTCCTCCGGTTTTTGTATGATTAAAGCTTTTACAAAGGCTTAGAAAAAATATGAACTGTTAGCTTTCAAACATTAGTTGGGTTTGGACTTTAAAAAAAAAAAGATTGAGTACCGTGGGGATGAGAGGATCTTGTCTGGTGGAGTTGAAGTGCAAACACCTGCTTGGTTGCAGTAGGACATAGAAAATGAATAATTCCCAAACCAGTTTAGCTTTTTATAATAGCCGCTTAATTTTCAGTATGTGCTTTCTTATTTTGCTGCATTTCTTCAAATGCAAATGTTTTTAAAAACTTATGACATCTGACTTGTTAAAGGCAAGATGCTGATTGTTGGATATAGTTTCAGTTTGGAGCTAGGAAAGTCTATGAAAGCCACTGTATTAATGTAATGTTCATGTAGAACTTTACAGTAGTGTCTTCGTTATCAGGCATCTTAGTTGCTGCATTTTCATTATATCACCTTTTCTTTAAGCATGCTTCTGAGGTCTTGTTTAGTTTTTCATTTGCTGCTGCTTTAACTTCATAAAGGTATTTCTACTTTACTCTGTTGAAAAGCAACATTGGCCTAAGCATTCTGTTTGTCTTATTATAGTTGTGCTCTGTATCCACAGCTGCTGTGTGTTTAAAACAAAGAAACCACAAACCATTATGGTTTGGTTGGTCATATAGACAAAGCTATTCAAGAGACTTAGTAACCACCAGTGTAATTATGATATTTCTATAATAGTTGAAATATCATGTACTTGAGATCATTACGTCTCTTTTTTTCAAATAAACCAAAGTAACTTTTTTGACCTAAAAATTGAAAGTGTCATTATATAGTGCAACCTTTTTTGAATAAATTTTAATGATATTGATTGTTCTTTAAAAATGCATAGTCAGATTTTTTCAAAGTCATATTAAAAAATACTTGATGAAATGCTTTCTTACAATGTGTTTTAAACTTTGTACAAAGTATAGCAGTTTAGTACAGCTTCTCCTGCTGAGGGGTATATTGGAATAATATATACACATTCCAAATTTGGTTTATTAGGGTCTAGCTAAAAAACTAAACAGCAGTCTAGCTGATATTGCAAAAGTAAGTACACATACATGAAACATTAATAAATATTAAGATCCATGCTTTCACTGTGAATGTGGTTTGACACCGAGATACCAAATACTTCCTAAGTTTTAAAACATTATATAGTCAACTTTATTTCTTGATTATCTTGAAGCAAGATCCTGCTATGTGATTTGTTAACAATATTTCAAAAATTATTTTAACTTATGTCATAATTTTGAGGCATTTGATTGTAGGATTTCTGAAGTACAGAGTTGTAAAACTAAAAAAAAAAAAACCCACTTTACTTATTAAAACTTGTTTGTCTATAGTGTTCACATTTTGCCATTTCATTTTTTTGATTCTCTCTTGAGAAATCTGTAAAATCTTTGGAAAACAGTAGATATTTTCCAGTTATATAAGATACTAGTTCTGAAGAGAAATTCTGGTAATTGTGGCTACTTTTGTGGGTTATTTTTGTTGCCTCTTCAGGAGGCAAACTATGACATTTGAAAGTTTAGTCATTTAGATCTACAAAGTTAGATTCTGTTTTGTCTTCAGAATTATTTTGCATCTGTTCCCAGTACTTGTCAGAGTTTCTTTAATTTGCTGGAATTCAGTCAGTGTTAGGTGTGTGGGTGACTTGTAATTTGAATATATATGCAGGATGTCTTTAAACTGCCCCAGCTGTTGGCTAAGAGCAAATATTTCATATTTGTGAGGAAAAGCTGAGAAAATTCCTCTTGTTTACAACTGCCAAGTCCATCTGATGAAGGCGCATTGTTATCTGACAGCCAATTCATCTTGGGATTCTGAAATTCAAAACGATTTCTCAGGAAACTTGTGGATACTTCCTTCAAGTATTTTCTTTTATACATTAAATAGCAAGCACTTTAAAGCTTTTTAGGTTTTTTCAGCGTGTAAGTGTAGGATGTCACATTTCCACTGTAAGTGTAATGTGCCAAGCTACTGTCAAAGAATACCTGATGCAGTCGTTCTAGCATGCCAATGGAAGGTATAAGTGAACCTTACTGCAACTTAAGTGAACTCAGTTTGGTTTATAAGATTGTTTACATGTAATATTTCTTATGTTGGAAAATCTTGTGCTAGCGTATACAGGCTGAATTTTAAAATATGTTTCCTGTAGTTCAGTACTCTCTTTAATGTGAAGAACAGACTTTCACAGTAGTTTCCCTCTGGGAAAAAAATAAATCTATCCCTCTAGGTTAAGTGGTGCTTTTGTTTTTTTGTTTTTGAACTGGAATTTCAGTTACAAAATCATTTCTTTTTAGACCAGTTACCCTGATTTCCAAGGAACTGTTTAGTTGGTCAGTGATTTACTCGTGAATACTCATTTGTAGATCTGATCATGCAAAATGCTGAATATCCTCAACTCCCTCTAAGGGAAGTGGGATTTGAAGACCTGAAGCACTTTGCAAAATTAATCTCTGAGAGAAGAAACTCTCAACCTCTCTTCAGAAGAAAAGTACTTAAGATATGATTAAATCTATGTATACCTCTCTCAAGTGGATAGAAATGTTTGTCCTATAGTTTAGTTAAGCAACAACAAATCTTGAGTACACTAGATATATGTAGTAGTATTTAGACCTAGTATGCTCCATAACAGGAATTTGTGTCGCACCAGTGTAACTGTAGAAGTGCAGTGGAAACCAAAACCACAATAAATACTGCCATAACAAGTAATTGTTACTACAGCAGCCCTGCTGTAATTTTAAAGTAAAAATGTTCATTTAGGAATAAATGATCATATAGTAGTGCCTACTACATAACAACTGGGAGGGAAAACAAGATGGAAACTAGCAACTTAATCAGCTAGTTTTTAGGTTTGTGGAAACTTTAGTTGCTGGAGAGACCCTGGTGAAGCTGAAGGTGATTTTGCCTTTTAGTTGGATACTTCTCTGAGAAGTCTTTAGTCAAATAAATGGGTATACACTGCAGTGTTCACTTAGTTATAATCTCCGGCAGTCTTGTCTGAAGGCTCAGCTCTTAAGGGGGTACTAGCTCCAGACCAAACCAATTCCGTACAACGCTGCCTGAGCTAGTAAGTCTGCCCTGAATATGTCTTTCTTTACAGCCTGTATCTTGAATGGCTGAATCACATGGTCTGTTGTGTTGTGTAGATGCTCTGTCTGCTGAAACAACCCTCTTTGAACTTCAATATGTACAGCCTGTTTTTTCAATCAGTGGGACAGCTTATATCTTTGTGTACATCCTGAAGCAGTGTCAAAAACTCTTGGATTCATTACGATATTGGCTGTCCTGTATTTAACATCTGCAAGACTTTCTGTGGCAACTAGTAACATGTATTATGAGCCCATGTTCCTATGAGTAGGGCCTCTAAAGAGTACATGTCTGTTCAGTACATGGCAGGTCCCATAAGGAGAGGATTGGGATATGACCTGTTACGTTGTCTGAACCTCTTACACGACCACAGTAATGTATCAGTGGTGGGTTTCAGTATGCTTCACGGCAGGAAGGCACAAAGGGTCAAGGTGTAGAGAGTTTCCACAACATTTAAGAATTTCCAGAGACCACTGCTTATTATGGGAGACAAAACCTTTTGAAATTATTCCTTATGAGAATGTGAAATTAAATACTTGTTTCTTCTTTCTTTATAAAGCTGTCATCTTGGGTGTGATGTTTGTAATAGTTTGTAATAGTCTCTTAAGAAAAAAAGATGACGATAAACTGAAAATCTCCACTTTCTGAAAACTAACACTATTATTAGACACAGCTTTAAAAATGACTTCTAAAAAGAAAATGACTTAGTCAAGTGTTATCCACAAGGTCACCTTCTGTGGTGTTGCTGCTACTGCTCAAAGTATCCCAGTATTTTTATAAGCTATTGTCATTTGGAGGGAAGTATAAAATTTCATTGAATACAGCTGCTATAGACTGTTGAACCAGTTCTATCATAAGCTACTTAAGTCTAAAATTTCCTTACAGTTCTTTGTACTCCAGAAATACAATGTAGTCAGGTTTTGAGGGCTAAATATACTCTTCACTTGCTTATGTAGCAGAGCAGTTACCTTTTTGTTTACGAAAAATGTTTTTTGGCTAATAGGAACATTGGTTTTAATCATAATTTTTCCTAATGATTTTTCTATGTCTAGTAGTTGAGTTGCCAGCTATGATCATTCTAAGACTATGCTAAACATCCAAAATATGTCAGGATAGGAAGAGTTTACAGCAGTCGTTTGAAAACTACCCACATTTTTCTTCCTGTATTTGTGAATAATCCATTGAGGCAGCAGTATGCCCCTAAAATGCTAATTTGGAGTCTGTTTCTGCAGACACTTACCACGTGAATAACTTGGTTTGCATTAGTAGTCCCACTGATTACTCTTGTGAGAAAGGTTACTTGTGTGGCCTAAAAAGTTTTCCAGGCCAAGCCCCTCCACTTTTGATACTTGAATTAATAGAATTTATTTCTAAAATGCCCATTTATTATCTTAATACTTCTAAAGAGCTATCTGTGTAGACTTAAAAAACCAAACTA